TTTTCTCTCTCTTTCCCTCTCGTTCTCATTAGCTCCTCCGTATGTGCGTGTAAAGTGCGTGAATCCATATGAGTTATTAGCGGTGGCTAATTACAAAGTACGTTTAATAACGACGTATGTACATCAATAATCGAAAGTTTTTTGAACGAGAGAAGGTGGGAGAGAACGCTCGGAAGAAGTCTCTCCGGTTAATGCCAGACTTTGGAACGTATTGACGAATTATTCAAAGCGAATGGAAGTGTTATTATTCGGATATCCGGCTATATGTATGCATATAATAAGCCAGGGCTTTCAGCGAGCGAGCGCGACCGCGGTTTTAGGCTTACGCAAGTTTTAATAATGTTTCGGGCAAAGCAATGATTGGCTCATCGAAACATCCAACGAGGATTTAAGAACGTTCAATATGACACGATATATATCGAATGTGTATACCATGTGATGGTTTGCCCTTTTATCTCGGTTGAACCATTTGCATTCCCCCAATTAATTTACATCAAATGAATGTTACATCTATCGCATTTTTTGTTCTTTTGAATACAGCTGATCAAAATTTTCGATATGTCTATTGAAACATTTTTCATTTGTTATACAAATATTCTTTTCTTCTATACAAAAGCCGGACTTGGTTGGCTATTGTTATTAAATGAACGCATGCCAGAACAATATTGCTGAAATAGAATTTCGTGCGTTTGTTTTTCCCTTTTTTCCGAATGACTTATCAATTTTCCGAGAAATTTTTTTATTTTTGCAACAGTTCTAAACAAACGATCGTGAATATTATATATATATATATGTGTAGAAAATTGTGATGTACAATCGCACTATTACAAGTCAGTTAGCTAACTCGTCATTAACGTATAATAGGATGTAGCGGGCGTTTGAGCGATCGTGCCTTGTGTTCCAATGATTTCAATGCACTCTTGTCAGTATAGTGACGCCCGTTCTCCAGGAACTGTCTCTTCTCAATACCTTTTTCCTTTTACTCCTTAACAATTCCTTAGAAAAGACAGTTACCGTCTCGTAGGAAGTTGTCGTGCGATAAGAATTGAAATTAATTATGTTCCACGAGTACATTGTTCGCGATATTCCATTATTAATTTTTTATTATGTTAATTAAATTTCAAAATTAGCTGTTTTTATTGTATTCATTATTGAAGTCTAATATTTATATTCTATCATTGCTTTCTGTGCCAATATTATTTTGTATTTCTGAATATATTAAAATTTAACTGAATTTTAGTAAAAATGTAAACTTACTTAGCATTCATAGGACAACATTACAATTTATAAGCAATGCATATTTTTCTTCACAAGATACTCTTTCACAAATACTAATATGTCGAGAAAAATAACTATTAAATTGTGAACAATAGAGAGAGTTACAAACAGTTTAAAATTAATAATTTCGAATTTAAAATTAATAATTTTTTTCTTAGCTTTATGTCGCGTTTGTCATAATTGAAAATATTGCAGAGACGTCTCTACGCGTATCGTTTTCGAATTCCTCCACTAACATTTTTAAGATTCCTTTTGACATACATCGATATCAACATGAAAACGAGTTTGAGAATGTTTTAGACGTTATCCTGCCGAACGTTGGCAAACTTTTCGCCGAGCTTGTTGGTTTATTTCGCGTTTCTTATTCGATTCCTCAGAAATAGTCAACCGCTTCGTTTTAATCGTTTTCGTGACGCTCCGGATGTAAATCGGTTTCGCAAACACGATGCGCGAAGTTGCCGGGAGTGGCTGCGCTTTTTTTTTCCAAATTTTCTCGCAATCGAACTCCGATGGAGGTCTCGATTTCCCGATGGACTCCGCCGTTACGCCTCTCGTAAAGTTGAGATTTCAAAACTTTCACATTGGAGTTGCCAGTCTATACGCAGCCCGAACACACGGCAAATAAAATTGACCTAGGTTGCACATCCCCCGATGCCGACGGGACGGGTGAAGGGGAGGGAAGTGGAGAACGCAGAGAGGATAAGATGAAGGCGGTGGGCCAAGTCCGCCCGTATTGTTGGACGTCGTGATTTTATTGCCCCTTTATATTGCCTCCGCGATACTCTCTTTCTCTCCCTCATTCCTTCTCTCGTTCTTTCTTTCTCTCTTGTACTATTCTCATTTCCCTCTCTTCGCCTCACGCCCCACGTCCGTCGCTGTCCCTCACTTCCGACCTCTGGCTCCGGGGTCGCGAGAGCGATTTTTACGAAGCAGCTCATCTCGCGTCTCCTGAGAAGCAACCCGGCCTGCCACCATTCTTGAAAATTGCAATCTCGAGGATCGCTTTTAATCGAAAAACGGGAAATAATATCGGGCGAGAAGGCGAAAATCCCGTCACGAAATCGCGAAACCGTAAGGAATGATGCGAACCTCCGTGCGATGATCGTTGGAGGCGACTGGGCTTGTGTGTCGCGTTTTCTATCGCTATTTGTAAACGTATTTCGCTTCTCTTTAGTGCGACTCTCGAGTCGAAAAATTATCGTAAGAACGTAAATGCATAACTGGATGACCAACCGGGATTCTACTCGCATGAGAAACATTGAAAGGACGGAATATGATCGCCATTATATAGAATTACAGGAAAGGAAGAAAGCATCTTCGGATTTTTCATCGAACGAGGCACGCGCGCGCTTTATCCTATACATATTTATAGCATACAGGATTTTGTCTTCGTTGTCGAAGCTCGGCGTGGGCAACGCGATAGCACGCTGAGATTCTATTAGACATACTCGGATA